TTTTTTTTTTTTTTTTTTGAGACAGAGTTTCACTCATGTCACCCAGGCTGGAGTGCAGTGGCGCGATCTCGGCTCACCGCAACCTCCGCCTCCTGGGTTCAGGCAATTCTCCTGCCTCAGCCTCCTGAGTAGCTGGGATTACAGGCACGCGCCACCATACCCAGCTAATGTTTTGTATTTTTAGTAGAGATGGGGTTTCACCATGTTGACCAGGATGGTCTTCATCTCTTGACCTCGTGATCCACCCTCCTCGGCCTCCCAAAGTGCTGGGATTACAGGCATGAGCCACTGTGCCCGGCCAAAAAATTTTTAAGATAATTTCAGACTTCTGGAAAAGTTCCAAGGATAGTCAAAGAATTCCCATATATTCTTAAACCAGATTCCAGACATCAATATTTTATCACATTTGCTTAAATATTTGACACACTTTATTTTCTAAATTATTTGAGAATAAGAACAAATGTGATGTTCCCTTACTCCTAAATGTCTTAATATGTATTTACTAAAACATGGACATTTTTTATAGCCACAGTGCAATTATCAAAATCAAGAATACTGAAATATTTTCCAATCTGCAGACCCTACTCAGTTTTTACCATTTGTCTCAGTAGTGCTTTTTATCACAAAGAAAATCTTGAAGCACATATTGCATATAGGGCTGGGGGCAATGGTTCACATCTATAATCCCAGCACTTTGGGAGGCTGAGGTGGGCGGATCACTTTAGGCCAGGAGTTCAAGACTAGCCTGACCAACATGGTGAAACCCCGTCTCTACTAAAAATATAAAAATTAGCTGGGCATGGTGGCGCACATCTGTAATCCCAGCTACTCAGGATGCTGAGACACGACAATCACTTGAATATGGGAGATGGAGGTTGCAGTGAGCCAAGATCATGCCACTGCACTCCAGCCTGGGGGAAGAGCAAGACTCCATCTCAACAAAAACGAGGCAGATTTCTGTTCAATAAATGACATACATTTCCATCAGTGATAGCTGATCAGTTGTGTAACAGGCTGTCTTTGAGAAAGTGAGCTCTCAGTCATTGGAGCCAACCAAGCCATGGATGATAGCCAATAGCATAGCTGTGAATGGGACTCCTTCCTTTTGAGAGATTACATTATGTGATTCTGTACATTAACTAAAAACTGTGTGCTGCAAAAGTATTACCATTCTGAAAATGATGGTGAGGAAGAATGTTTTCGAAGCCTGAGGTTCCCAAACTCTCTTGGATCATGATGCCCCTGGTGTCTTAGTAAGTTTTTCACAGTATCCCTAGACAAATAGTGACTTTCATGTTACAATTCTTTTGTGTTTATTTCCCTTGAAACTTTAAAATATTCTAAGGTGCTATGGTGCCCAGGGCACTTGTGCCCACAGTTTAAGAACTGTGGCTATAAGCAAAGACCTTAAATTGCGTGTCGTGTAGCATGATGACGATTAAGATTCGTATGCATGTAAACAAAGGTTGGAAAGAAACACAAAGCCAAAGCAGTACATTTGGTTTACAGATGATTTAAAAATATTTAAAACCTTGTAAATCATGATTTTCTCCTGATTTATTCTCTGGGTGCTACTAAGGCACTTTAGTTTTTTTTTTCTACAGGAAATAGCTGTACAAATAACATAAGGCTTTCCAACTCTGGGGCAGTAACAGTTCAGAGAATCTTATTTCTAAGGAGCTAGCATTTTGTGATTGAAATGAGCTGTGTGTTCTCTTTTAGGACCATAGAATTTTTTGGCTGATTACAGGAATTATGTTCATGGGAAGTGGCCTTATCTGGAGGCGCCTGCTTTCATTCCTTGGACGACAGCTAGAAGCTCCGTTGCCTCCTACGGTATGAAGGACATGGTTCACGGCAGTATTGTGGAAGGGTTATGGTCATGGGCCCTAACATCAGACCACCTGGGCTTAAGTTGTCACAGGCACTGTGGCCCTTGTGAGTTATTTACTTTCTCAAACCTCTTCAGTTTCCGTGTCTGTCAGTTAAGTCAGTATTATGTGCTTCATAGGGTTATGGGGAGAATTAAATGAGGTAATATGTGTAAAGCACTTATTGGCACACTGCCTAACACAATAAATAAGTTAGAAATAGAATTTATTTAGAATTCTCTAACAAACATACATTTAAACAGATGTTAGTAATTCTGGTATAAGGTTTTGTCATAACCAAATCAAAATGTAGGAAACATTTATAATGTTCTCAGAAGACAGAAAATTCACCTGCATTTTCTTTGTACTTCAAGATGACACCACTTAAGACACTGATACTGCTTTAGTCCTTTCTTCATTAAGTAGTTACGTATCATTTTACTAGTGGCTTTCTTTTTAAAAATGACAAACTAAAATTACTATTTCTGCTTTATTTAGATGGCCTCTTTTTCTAAAAAGACTCTTCTGGCAGATAGAAGCATGGAATTGAAAAACAGCCTCAGGCTGGATGGACTTGGATCAGGAAGGAGCATCCTAACAAACCGTTAGTAGCAATCCTGTGGATACTGAAGTTTTTTATGGTAGTCACAGGAAACTTCTGATACTCTTTTATTGTTTTCTTGTATAGAGTCAGACACTTGAAAAAAATGGTTTGAAGACAAAATTCTTTTGGCAGTCACAATACCACAACTTGATAGTATTTCCAGAATTCTAAGTATTTGCTTTGTGAAAGGCCAGAATTGTTTCCTACAAACTTTAAATGCTGTTTTTATAGATTTGATATGCAGCAACACAAGGACAGTTGTGTAGATTTTATTTATACATAATTTATACATATCAAGAAAAGTGCAATTTCTTGCTGAAAGAGGCGCAGGAACTTGATAAGCCCATAGGTAGCTGTAGTTCTTTGTCAGCATAGGGAATTACGTTCATGTGAATTTCCTGATTCTCAGGTGACTAAAAAAACTAGCATTCTGTGTATTAACCTTAAACTCTGGAAGTTTGAGCTTTAAAAACCAAACTTTAACATAACCTTATTTTCTTGTACTTGCCACCCCTTTTTATTTAAGGTGAAAAATAATTTCAGCACTGTAAGGATTCCTAATCAAGACTTCACTTTCTCAACCCCTGCTACTAGTTTTCTTTGCTCTCAGTAATTAGAGCCTTTGAAAGCAAAGGTGAAAGCAATTACTTCCATTCTGTTACTGTTCTGTAGCTACTGTGTCCATTTACTATTCGATACCACCCCTGCCCTGCCCCAAAAGGAAAAATCTTTATTGCCCTGTTTATATGCAATATTTTCTGGAGGTTAAGTACAGTTATGCACTAGAATATTAGTTAAGACTCCCCAAGTAGTATGCATGGAAGGTTCTAGAGTGTCCAGAGCAGCCCTTGCACTACAAATGTAATAATAAATATGCTAACCCTGATGATATTGAGGGTACATGATTACCGTAATGTGGTATCATATGAGGAAGTTTAGGAGTCCATTTTTCAGGTGGTTTGGTGATAGGAGTAAGAATGTTACTCCCGTATAGATGATTTGGAAGAAAACAGGTGAAGTACAAGTGTGGTTTCCCCACTGCTGCGTGTGGTCATGGGCGGCCATTAGAGGGAAGCTGGAGAACAGAATGGAGCAGCCCCTGTTTACCACGCCATAGGTCAGGAACACGTGTCATGGTATGGCTGTTGGCATGTGAACATACAGCACTCTCTAGTGTTAAGACTGTTAGGATTTTTAAGATTATATTTGATAAGACTTAGATGTCACAGGGTACCCTTTTGGCACAGCTCGGAACACACTGCTGCTATTTTGGGTCTTACCACTATAAAGTAATAAAAGCACTACCTAACTGACATGAAGAATTGGAATCCCAGAGGGCAACCTTTGATTTGACTAAGATTAGGCATAACATAGAATTGTGGTCATTTTTCCTTGCAGTTTTATGGAGTTTGTTTTTGAGCGTGGGTAAAATAGTTTTCTGATGAATCATGTCAATAAAAGGAAAAATAATGTAACTACCTCCTAAGTCTGATAAAGGGAAGTTGCTGGTAGTTTACAGCATTCCTGAAGGTGGCTAAATCAAGTATGAGTTCAAAATATTAACTAGTTCCACTTTGGTGATTGCAGGATGCTTCTTAAAGGTCTCACAAATAAACCAGCTTATGCCAAAAATATATGAAGTTCCTTGGTTTTAAATTTTGAACTAAAATGAACTGAGTACATTAAGTACTGTTTGAAAGTAGGTACCAAACTCTGGGTTTTGTGAGCAAGCAATCATATCCCCTGTCAAACATGTGAAGTGTAAGGTGTGATGCTGTCTTTGGAAGGCCCCGAAACAAATGTGGGCACAACAGGTGTCATTTGAAGTTGCTATTAACATTTTATTCTTCATGAACATAGATGGATAAGCAGCACTAACCAATTTTGTATTAAAAAAGCAATTTATTTTGGTGTGTTATTCCAAGAGTTGTATACAGCTTTATTTTTTTGGAATTGCAATATCAAATTTGCACTTTGGATTTAGGACTTACTGTCATTACTTTAGTGATACCTACAGAAGTCGTCTGATGGATGCTGTGCAGAGTAGGGGCTACAGGGACCCAAGTTTGGTCCCCATCCCATTTTCAAATAATTTGGGTCTCTTAGGTCCGTGAAACAAAGGCATAAGACAATCTTGATCTTGAAGCCTTGAAGAAAGTCGTTACATATACACAGACAGATAGATAGAAAATGCAAATATGTAAATGTCATCTGATGACTTGAAATAAAGATAAATTTTAGCTAAACTGTTATAGAAGTTCAGATTTCTGTTAATGAGAAATTACAACCTGCAAGGTAAGGTCTTTACATTTTGGTTATTAAGCAGAATCAGTGCTGAGAACTATAGTTAATACTTAGTGGAATGAAAAGTTAATCTACATATCAGGATAATGTATTAGAGTATCAAGTATTAATTTGTTCCAGTATGCCAGGTTTTTTACATATTTGCCATATAAGTTGACCTTTTACAGTAGCAGTATAATTTACATTGTTTTTGACAGTGGGGTTAGTATGGTTAAATGTCCTATAAACTTGAAGGATGCTTCCATTTTTGTGGGTCTTAGTCTCTACCTGGTGCTTGCTATTGGGTGTGTTCAGGACTGAGAAAGAGAAATAATGAGTGAAGTAAATAATGATGTTTAAACATAGGCCTTATCATTTAGTGACGCATAAAAACACTGACACTTTATATAAATGCCTCCGTCTAATGAAAGGATCCAGTACTGAGAAAAACATACCTTTACTCAAGTGTCAGATGTCATCAGAGTCTGCTCTACCAAACTGCTCAACTCGTAAGTGGATACAGCTAAGTAATTTCTGGTCCCCTAAAAATAACCTCCTTTTAATTAATTCTTCAGATAGGTTTTGCTACCAATAATTGCACTGAAATGAAAGCAAACGGTGCTTCCTTGTGCTTTTGCTGTGCCATAGTTATATTTGCTAGCTGCATAGTAACCTAAGAAAAATAAGGTCATCCCAGGAGTGACCCAGAAACGCTCTCTAGGGATATGCCTGCTGAGGCTTTTGTTAACCCTCCAGTCTTCAGCTGGATTCCTCTTCCTGTCCCCTTTTTCACCAATCTCTACTCTGCCTTGAGACACGCGGAGAAGAGAAGGCCTCTTCCATTTGTTATTTTCTCTTGCTTTTAGTATCAATCTCACCAGTGGCAGAACAAAGAGGTTCTTCCCACTTTAACACAAAATAAACTAGTTACTGTTTACAGATAAGGCCTGCTAATGTTACCAGTGAAACTGAAATTCACCCTATGATAACATTCCTTTCCCTTTAAGTGTGCCACACTGTACTACTGGCAAAGAAATCCATCCTATGAACAGCCCAGGAACAAGCGAGTCCAAGGCCTGGTTTCTCCTCCATCCCTTACACTAGCCTGGGGCTCAGGCCACATCTTGTTCCTCTGGTTCTTTTGGCACAACTTGTAATCTAATGTGACAAAACCTTCCCGTGAGATGGCTTCAAACTAGCAGTGTCACTAGGCTCTGCTGGTGTTAGCACAGCCAACTCTACAAAAACATTGGAGGGTACAGAAGGGTGATAAAGTCTTAGTTTTTAGATTTGTCCTTCGCTACATAAACATTGAAAAGGTATTAATCCTCATTAAGAAAGAATTATTGGCCGGGTGCAGTGGCTAATGCCTAGAATCACAGCACTGTGGGAGGTCGAGGTAGGCGGATCACCTGAGGTCAAGAGTTTCAGACTAGCCTGGCCAACATGGTGAAACCCCATCTCTACTAAAAATAGAAAAATTAGTTGGGCGTGGTGGCGGGCTCCTGTAATCCCAGCTACTCAGGAGGCTGAGGCAGAAGAATCACTTGAACCTGGGAGGTGGGGGTTGCAGTGATTGTGCCACTGCACTCCAGCAGCCTGGGCGACAGAGCAACACTCTGTCTCAAAAAAAAAAAAAAAAAAAAAAAAGAAGCAGAGGGGATTATCATTGTTGAAAAATTAACACAGGACACGGGAACAGAAAACCAAATAGAGCATGTTCTCACTAGTGGGAGCTAACTTGTAAGAACTTAACGAACACAAAGAAAACGACACTGGGGTCGAGTTGAGGGGGGAGGCAGGATGGGGAGCAGCAACAAAGATAAACCTTCACATGTGCCCCTGAACCTAAAATAAAAGTTAAAAAAGACCAGGTCACACGTGATTTGGAAGGAGAGGTCATCCCTCAGCCCCATGCTCTTCTCTTTACTATTTCTCCTCCCTCAGTTTTTTTCCTGTGTACTATGCTTTCCAGTACACTGACTGAGAAGGTGCCACAAATCTGTTATTTTTAAATTCAATTTTTTTTCCACCTTTTAAGTTTGGGGGGTACATGTGCAGGAAGTGCAGGTTTATTACATACAGAAAGGTGTGTCATGGGGGTCTGGTACACAGATTATTTCATGGTGCTAAGTACCCATTTGTTATTTTTCCTGATCCTCTCCTCCCACCTTCCACCCTTTCACAGGTCCCAGTGTGTGCTGACTCCCTCTATGTGTCCATGTGTTCTCATATGGCTCCCACTTACAAGTGAGAACATGCAGTATTTGGTTTTCCGTTCCTGCATCAGTTTATGAAGGATAATGGCCTACAGCTCCATCCATGTCCCTGCAAAGGGCATGATCATTTTTTTACAATTCTTTCTTAAAGAAGGATGTTTTTAGGAGGAATTGTGTACAAAGATCGTTCCAACAGATAGCCACAGAGGGACCTTTCCAGGCACTGGAAAGACATTCAAGAGGAAGAAGAAAGAGGTTGTACAGCAGGTCTCATTACAGGCAGTAAGTTAGGAAAGAAGAAAGGTTTAGATTAGATGCAAAGGGAGCGAGGAAGTAAACTGGAAATGGATATGACTAAGCCGAGTGTCTGCTATTTCACATACTCCTGGTGCAGCCATATAATTGTGTCAGATTTCTTTGCAGAGAGTGTGGCTGCTGCTTTGTGTTTCTATCAGGATCTACCATAGCTCCACTGGATATGCCACTCTGTCCACCAAAATGCTCACCATGGATGTGATTCAGCATGAGAGAGGGGGGCAGAGTGGAGAGGTGCAGGGAAATCTTCAATCTGAGCCAAGGCTGTAGACATGAAGTGCCCCAGAGAGTCGGGCTCCCAAAGAACTCCTTCCAGCAGCAATGACAACTTGGTTCTGGAAGAGACACAATACAGACAGAATTCAGGGCCATTCATAACATCTGTTGAGTTCCTACTGTGTAGTCCAGGCATCGCGCTATACTCTAGAAATAGAAAGATGAGTAAGGCACCGGCCAGGTCCCCTGGCTTGAACTCATGCCACTTTCCCTTGGTTTACATACTGCTTTCTCACATCTGTAGGTTCTGAAAACCACAGCAGAGGACGCTCACCTCAATCCCTATTCTGGCACATAAATCATAAAGCAGAATTATGGCAGTGCATGCTTAGTTCTGGCACAATGTGGAAAACACTCCTTGAATAATAAGGACTTCCCCCAGAAGTCGGCTTTGTCAAAGTACCTAGTGTACCTCCCACTCAACCTGCTGGTTAAAACATTTTAGGACCCATCATTCCGAATTGCCTTTAAAACCTGCTACAAGTTTTTAAAATATTTTCTTCCTTTTTGAGACAGAGTCACGCTCTGTCATCCAGACTGGAGTGCAGTGGCGCAATCTCAGTTCATTGCAACCTCTGCTCCCGAGGTTCAAGCAATTCTCTCATGTCTCAGTCTCTCGAGTAGCTGGGATTACACGCCTGTAATCTCAGCACTTTGGGAGGCCCAGGCTGGTAGATCACAAGGTCAGGACATCAAGACTATCCTGGCCAACATGGTAAAACCCTGTCTCTAACTAAAAATACAAATATTAGCTGGGCATGTTGGTGCGCACCTGTAGTCCCAGCTACTCTGGAGGCTGAGGCAGGAGAATCGCTTGAACCCGGGAGGCGGAAGTTGCAGTGAGATTGCACCACTGTACTTCAGCCAGGCAACAGAGAGAGACTCCGTCTCAAAAAAAATAGAAAAAGAAAAATGGATCAAATGGTAATTTCTTCTCCCTCTTCCCTGATTTATAGAATTAGTAAATTTGCTAAATTTCGGCTTCTCTCTTTCCTGCCAGAGTCTAGTCATCTTTCCAGATGCAGCTCCAGGCCCCTGACCTCTGCAGACCCTTCCCTGACTCCACCAGCAGAGACTTCCACTCCAGTGGCTGGCTGACCTCCTCTGGCTGTTGGTCATCATATATTGACCTGGATGGTCTTACGGGTCCGTTGTATTTTCCCACCTAGATTCCAAGCACCTGGGGCTGGACCATGTCCCAGGTTTGTCTGTCTCACAGGTGCTTGATGTAACACTACTCATTATACACTCAGTTACTGCTCTGTTGAGGCTACCGAGCTGATGGAAGGTGGCCCCATGAGAAGTTTCAGAAATACACAGACAGTGACAGCACTACTTAACGAGAGGCTGAATCCTGATTCTAGTTTGTTGTGACCAGTTTCATTACTGAATGTGCTTATGCCATAGAAACATAACTTGTACCCAAATCTCAGCAAAAGGCCACTCTGATCATCCTCTGATTGTCAATGCCCCCAAGCTCAAGTATGTACTGAAAAAGTAAAGTAATTTTAACACTAGCCCAGGTGAACAATAATTAGGAAGGTGCATTTTCAGTATTTTATAAAAAGGAATCAAATGACCAGGTGCGTTGGCTCACGCCTGTAATGCCAGCACTTTGGGAGGTCGGGGCAGGTGGATCACCTGAGGTCAGGAGTTTCAGATCAGCCTCACCAACATGGTGAAACCCGGTCTCTACTAAAAATGTAAAACTTGGCGTGGTGGTGGGTACCTGTAGTCCCAGCTACTCGGGAGGCTGAGGCAGGAGAATCACCTGAACCCAGGAGGCGGAAGTTGCAGTGAGCCGAGATCACTCCATTGCACCACTGCAGCCTGGGCAAAAAGTAAAACTTCATCTCTGAAGAAAAAAAGGAGAATCAGATATGAATTACTTTTGGATAATCTATATATACCACTACGCTTAATTGATTCAAGTTATAGTTAATATACGTATAGTTTTATAATACATGGGGTTTTTGATCATGTCTAATTTTTGAAATGAATAAAATTTTAAATATAAGCCAAGCTTGTGAGGCTTCCTGTGGTCAGATCTTTCGAGAATCTTCTTCTAAAACTATTAACCATCTTTTTGTTGTGTGGTGAATCCTGCATTTTTAGACCGCCCTATAAATGGGTCACTTAAATTGTTGGCCTCTAGAGGGCAGTTTCACCACAATTTTTCCTGATTTCCTCCTTCCACCTTCCACACTGGTCAGCAGGAGCCTGGTTCACAGCACTTACCAAGTCTAATCTGTGAAGGCTTCCCCAGCCCTTCAACCCACTGTTAAGACTCCTTCTTCATACTATTCATTAGCATTTAATCCTATAGCAATAAAACTATTTGATTTTCCATGTATATAAATCTTATTTTCAATAACAGGGACTTTGCCGTCTCTGTCTTTCTCTTTCAGAGCCTAGCACAGTTGTATACAGTGTCATAACCTAAAATAAATGGATGAATGCAATCGATGCTTTAGAGGTATATTTTAAGGTTCAACATTTTTTCGTTTTACTGGAGTGCAGTGGCGTGATGCGGCTCCCTGCAACCTCCACCTCCCGGGTTCAAGCGATTCTCCTGCCTCACCTTCCCGAGTAAGCTGGGACTACAGGCGTGCACTACCACACCCAGTTATTTTTTGTATTTTTAGTAGAGATAAGGTTTTCTCACATTAGCCAGGCTGGCCTTGAACTCCTAACTTCAGGCGATCTACCCGCCTCAGCCTCCCAGAGTGCTGGGATTTTAGGTGTGAGCCACCATGCCCGACCAAGGTTAAACTTTTTAACCCACCATATCGAAATGTAAAATGTGTATCCTTTTTGATCTAGCAATCCCGCTTTTAAGATTCTCACCTGTGGG